AAAGAAAGAAAGAAAGAAAGAAAGAAAGAAAGAAAGAAAGAAAGAAAAGTAATGTAAAATTTTATAAGCTTGGGATAGGAATAGGCTTACACTCAAAGCTCAAAACCCAGCAAGGAAAAAATGAAAAGATTTGATTACATGATTTTAAAATTTCTATTTATTGCATGATATCATGAGCAAAACTTAAAAGACATATTTGCAACATATGTAACTAACAAAGAATATATAAAGACCCTCTAAAAAGACACCTAGGCACTTCTAAAAGGAGCACCTGCATGGCTCAGTCAGCTAAGTGTCCTAAGTGTCCAACTCTTGATCTCAGCTCAGGTCTTGATCTCACTTGAGTTTAAGCCCCGTGTTGGGCTCATGCTGAGTGTGGAGCCTACTTAAAATTTAAAAAAATAATAAATAAACAGACAACTCAATAGAAAAATGAACTTTAAATATATAGTTCATGCATTTTGAACTAAATTCAAAAATTTGAAATTCACGTAGGCAAAAAAGCATAAGAAAATATGTTCAGGGCACCTGGGTGGCTCAGTTGGTTAAGTGTCTGACTTCAGCTCAGGTCACAATCTCACGATTTGTGACTTTGAGACCCACGTTGGGCTCTGTGGCTAACACTTCAGAACCTGGAGCCTGCTTTGGATCCTATGTCTCCCTCTCTCTCTGCCCCTCCCCTACTTGCACACTGTCTCTCTCAAGAATAAATAAACATCTTAAAAAAAATTTTTAAAGAAAATATGTTCAAATTTTCTAGTAATTGTGAAAATGAAACCTAACATAATGAGATGTCACCTTATACCATCAAAATGGCAAAAATTAAAATAGTGATTATATCCACAGTTCACAAGGATTTGGGGAAAGGAACAATCTTATGCATACTTCATGAGAAAACCAATTAACAAAATCCTTTTGTGAAATAATTCAATATTATTTTTCAAGGTTAAAATTTTACATATTCTTTGACAGAATAATTTTACAACCATGAATCTATCTTATAGAAATGTCCAAATACGGGCACAAAAATATTTTAACAAGAATGTTTATTATAGCATTATTTATGATAGTGAAAATTCTTAAATAATAGAAATGTCTGTCAAAACAGAGGTCACTTTAATAAATTGGGATATATCCAAAATATTTTGTAATGATATGCAGCTATTAAGAATAGGAACTTTATGGGGCGCCTGGGTGGCGCAGTCGGTTAAGCGGCCGACTTCAGCCAGGTCACGATCTCGCGGTCCGTTAGTTCGAGCCCCGCGTCAGGCTCTGGGCTGATGGCTCAGAGCCTGGAGCCTGTTTCCGATTCTGTGTCTCCCTCTCTCTCTGCCCCTCCCCCGTTCATGCTCTGTCTCTCTCTGTCCCAAAAATAAATTAAAAAAAAAAAAAAAAAGAATAGGAACTTTGTATATCACTGTGGAATAACCACTAAGACATGTCCATTGAAAATTGTATAATTATGCATAAATTATTATTTTATTTGTTTAAATAACCTGTATGTCCTACTGTAGATATATGTGTATAAACATATTAATGCAGCGAGAAAAATCTCAAGGGATACATATCAAAACATTTAAATTCAAGTTAGTTAACATGCAGTGTAGTATTGGCTTCAGGAGTAGAACCCAATGTTTCATCACTTACATATAACACCCAGTGCTCTTCCCAACAAGTGCCCTCCTTAATGCCCATCACCAGTTTAGCCCATTTCCCCAACCACCTCCCCTTCAGCAACCCTCAGTTTGTTCTCTGTATTTAAGAGTCTATTATGGTTGAATCCCTCTCTATTTTTGTCTTATTTTTCATTCCCTTCCCCTCTGTTCATCTGCTTTGTTTCTTAAATTCTACATGTGAGTGAAATCATATAATAGAATATGTATATGTAAGGTGGAAAATGAAGATGAACTTTATTGCTCTATGTGTTCATGCACATCTGAGCTTTCATAAAAATACAGTAATTTATTTCTATTACCTGTACAACAAAAAGTACAGAGAAATATAATCATCAAAAATCCATTCCATTTACAATGTACAGTTTATTCAATATAAGACTCTGTGATACTTTGGTAGGTATTATTGCCAACCTTTTTTATAATTTTCAACGTCAATTTTTACATTTTATTCAACAAATATTTATTTAAGGGCACTAAGCAACAAGCACTGTGTTGGGTACTTAGACGTAGTAGCCAGAGAAAACACAGTCAACTGCCCTTATAGAGTTCACAGTCTATTTGGAAGTAGAAAAAATTAATAGGTAGTTAAATAAAATGCAATGAATGTTCAAACTAAGGAAATACAGGGTACAAGGAAGAGGAAATAATAAGAAAACCTGATTTAATCTAATCTAAAACTAAATCAAAGAGCACAGAAAGCTCTAAGAAAGGAGATACACCTTCCAGAAGAGATGATTACATTAAAACTGAAATGTAGGCTTGGAGTAGACAGGCAGAGTAGGAGGGAATGCTAGGGAAGGAGGGAAAAAGACCAAAATGAGAACATTCAGGGCAGAAGGAATTATCATATGCAAGGTAGGTATGGTTGGAACATAGCCGGTGAGGGTTGAGTGGCGAGAGGTTAATTTGGAGAGACAGCCCAGGACCTGTCTGTCAAGTTTCTGATTAGCCCTGGTAAGAAAGAAAGAACTTTATCTAAAAGCCAATGGGAAGTCTGATGTGGAAACAAAGGCAAAAGAAAAAAAATTAAATTCCCTTTCAGTATACAGCCCATTGGCAAGTCCTTGAAACAGACACAATGACCTTCCTCTAGGACTCAGCTATCTCAGATGTTAACACTTTGCTAAGGGCAAAAGGCAATATTAGCTTAATATTATCCCTCCCCCAACCCCAGGACCCTGTAAGTCTACCTCAACATACAAAAATTACTTTGGAAATGTCCTTTATCTCTAACCCCCCAAGATCTATGTTAACAATCATCGTCCAAGCATATGGCTCACTGATATACATCCGAAGGGTCTCATGACTAAGGTTTTACTAGACAGTAGT